GGGGGCTGACAAGCAGAAGGACTGGAAGAGAAGTTTGTATCAGGATTCTAGAAATACATTGAACTGAAAAAAATACAGATATCCCCCATTTTATGAAGGTACTTTGTTCCACAAAAACTGTTCATAAGGTTAAAATTCGAAAATAAAAAATGATACTTCCATTCCCTCATATGTAAAAGTAACTGATTTGTTCACGAGTCCCAGAAAAATCCAATAATTTTTAACATATATTTTAATTGTAAATAATCATTAAAATAAAGACAGTATTGCCTGTTTATGACAGTTATTGTTGAAAATATAAAGGTAAAGGTAAAAATGTGCTGGTCACAGTAGCCGAGCAGTCTAAGGCATGTACTGTCTTCACTCGCTTGGAAACCGGGATCGTGGGTTCGAATCCCACTCAGGGCATGGATGTTTAGTTTGTGTGTGTGCGTTTTTCTGTGTTTGTGTACAGGTAGAGGCCTTATGACGAGCTGATCACCCGCCCAAGGAGTCTTATCGTATGTCTAAGATCTAGAAAAACCGAAGTTCATGGAGGTAGGCCTAGGTCCACTGGGGCTGTGGTGCCAAGGGGGGAGGAAAAAAAAAGGTAAAAAGGTAAAGTTGTCCCTTTGCTTAACTAATTAAGCACTACATATGGCATATACTATATATGGGGGAGAGGATGTATAGATCAATATTTTCTTGACCTTGGCACTAGATGCATGTGAGTGGACAGCTTCACAAACCTTCTGTTTCAGACCCCCCCCCCACCCATCATTGGATAGGAAGTTGTGTGCTTTTAAAAAGAGGGATATCTGTACCAATTAAATCATAGCAGTGATTAATTTTCTCACCAACATTGATAACTGCCACTTTCCTGCCAATGCTTTCAAGGAACTTGCTCACTACATGACAGTATGTTGTCTTGCCACTTCCTGGTGGTCCAATAATGAGCTGACCAAACCTATTCATGATGACTGAATATATAACCACTTATTACTTTACAGTCTCACAATAAAAAAGGAACTACTCCACACAAGTCTCATGCTCAAAACAACTTCATTACCAAGCTTCACCACATCTTATTTTGCAAAATAATGTCCTTTATAGCTTCCAGTACCCATAAGCTGCAGTCCTTCAAACAAATAGAATATAATGCTGGTTTGGTCATTTGAGTTTGTTCTGTTAAATAGCGAGCAGCCAGATTAAAGGCAGGTTCTTCCTGCCCAAGAATTGTTCTGAAACACATAATAATTAAATAATTAACTAATCTGTAAAGTTAAGGTGCAAATATATTACATAGGAAATCATGTAAATACTCAAATACATGAAAATACTTTCATACATGGATGTTACTTTTTAATGACAGTGCTTGTTGAGTTCCCTCAATCCTACTTCTGGCTTAAGTTATTAATACTTTGACATGACCGCTGAAAGCCGGAATGGTGGAGCTGGAGCAGACATCCTCTGCTATACAATGGCTAGGTAAACACTTGTTGCCACAGCAATGAATTAACACACATTTATATGGAGGTGGATTCTTAGAAACCGACTACGTACAAAACACGTTTCTATTGCAACGAATACACTGGTATAAATCAACATGTTTCCTGGATATAGCCATTTCATGGTAACAAACAATAACAGAGGACAATGAACTATATTTGGTCTGCAGAAGAAGTCTGGCTCAGTCTGAGATTCAGATATCCAGATAGAGCATTTGACAGACCAAATGACGACTAAGCAAGCAGATGCTGAAGACTTACTTTATGCCTTACAGTTACAGTAATCTTTAGAGAGTTATAATTAATTGTAGTTACAACTTGTGAGTATCCAGTAAAAATATTCACTGATCCAAACCCCATCTAAAAGTCACTAATACACAAGACAATACACTGAGAGTCCAGCTGGACATTCATCACATCACCCCTGCAGACTGGCCATTTTGCCAAAGCGGCAAGCATTTTCACAACCACATTTCTGAAGACACTTTTAAACAGTTCTCTACTGATTCCATACTGTGAGAACCATCTAATGACTGACACAAACTACAATAAATGGTGAACCCTGTAAATTCCATGCCACTAGTATTTTAGAGGCAAAGAAACTATACTGCAAGTTCCCAAAAGAGAACACTTACCACACATAGTTATATTGGATGTTTCTGACTGCAGATCTGAATGCACTTTTGCCAATATGGGATTTTCCATGAATGTAACCCTATATTTGGCAAGGTAAAACTAAACTGGTAAGGTTCTCCACGCACTTAATTAATTACGCACAATCACACATGGGGGAGAGGAGGTACAGCTCCATCACACTCTGGCTGCTCTATGCCCTGGGAAAGAGCTTGTGATACTCACTGGATAGGAGGTTATATGGGCCCCAGGGACGGTTTTTATACTGTGGAGAACTGCCACCTGCCATGAATTAAACCCTAGCAATCCAGCCCATAGTCTGTCACCATACTGACTGAGCTATCCTGGTTCCAGGAACTACTTAATAATAATGTTTCAGCAGCAGAAATTACACAACAAACATAAATTAGAACAAACCTCAGTGCATATACAGCACAGCAAAAGGAAACACAATGATGAATAATACATATATCTTATAAAGATATAGAAGACTCAAGAATAAGTATTCAGAGACCAAAAATGAGTAGGAAACATAGCAATACCATGAAATTATGGGTGCTTGACTGCATTTATTGTACTACTTTCTGATATATCAGTCAGTCATCTGTTCTGTCAATAAACATACTGTGGTCATTATGAAGTGAATAAAAGTTCTGCTAGTTCAGATCCTTTTGTCTCAAAGTATGAATTCATTATTCTTGCAACAAAGTACATAATTCAAATGCAAATTTTAACAGTCAAATGCTTCAAAGAAAAATTACAGAAACTGAATTTTGAAGGTCACGCAACACAAAGTTATGTGTATTGAAGCCTGCAGACTGCAGGTTCAGTTCGTAACCAAAAGGGATAATCCAAGAGGAATGGAGAAAGTGTTCAAAATATTGAGGCATGCTTATAGATCAGTCTTTCAAATTGCTAAGATGTTTGGCACACTAAACTGGTGTTTTGCTGGGGTCTGTGTTCACAGTCACAAGACTAATTAAATATTGCTCACATCAAATAAGGGTTGTGCATGAGCTTAAAAGAACCTGATTGTGCAGCACGAATTCACTTCTGTAATTGGATGCTGCAAAATATGCATGCAAGTTATGGATTTACAGCTTCTGTTCACAACCAATGAGATACATCTCATTTTTACCATACTGGTCATGTCAGTATGCAAAATGTATGATTATGAGGTGAAGAAAATCCTCATGTCATTCAACATGTACCATTACACTGCTTAAAAGTAGGGATGTGACATGCTGTGTGCAATGAATCACTGATCCAATTTATTTTTTCAGGAAACTGTCAATTCAGATTAGTGAGTGAGTGATGTACTGAATCTCTTCTTCAAGCCACTAACAGCTGAAGAAATACAATATGGATATTTCCTGCAAGATGATGCTACAGAACTTAATGTTGACAAGTCCACAGCCATTACATGTGTGGTGCTTGAGGACAAAATAATTAGCAAAACCTTTTACATACCTTGCTCTTAGTTACTGTGACTATTATCTCTAGGGTAACACAAAAGTATACGAGATCAACTCTCACAATGCCACAGCTTTCCAGAAAAAAATAACACATGTACCTGCTTTCCAGTTTCTGAGGATGCGTTCAGAAATTGTTGAAAAACTTGTTCACTTGCTGCAAGGCATGCTGGAAGGCTGAAGTGGGTCACTTTCCAGAAGATCTTATAAAATATGGTAAGTATATCCCATTCTTACAGTAATCAATTATGAACTTCTGTAGAAGCAGAGATTAATATGAGACTGCACCACACAAACAAGAAAAAATTTTGCACTTTTGCCCCTATGTCTGCATAGTAAACTACCACCATACTACTTCAAGCCGCACGATTAAATCAGAACTGAACAGAACTTGTTATAGAAAAATAAACTTGGATTCATACATCTTTCAAATATTTTCTACCTTATACTGTTCACTACATATTATTTGTATACAAGAGAAATGAACCATTACTTACCTAACTTGATATCCTTCACTATAACCATTCTTAATGTTTGCTGATTCTTTGCATACTGCAATCAGGGACCCAAATTTCTTATACTGAGAGAGTACAATGAAGATTCGATCCCTGTTATAAAATAGAATGTTGTACTGCATTACCTGAACAATGTAGTAAGATATATAATAATAACAACAATTGTACAGTGAAATATATTACAATTTAATGAAATTAGACATACAAATTAGCAGGATTCTCAGAAGCTCCTGTTTATTATAAGAGGAGTTAACATTAATATTTCCACTGTAGGAAACAAACAAAATTTTATTTTTAATGCCACCTGAATTTTACTCCATGTTTGAGAACTATACCACCTCATATTTACTCCAGACATCAAAGAACCAAGTTCTAAATCACATGTGGATTTTCCAGTGCTTATGCTGTTCCAAAAAATCTGTCAAAAGTCCCTGTGTAATATTTCATAACATGCCAGTCTACTTGGGCAAGGGGTTGTTGGCCTCCCACCAAATCCCCAAGCTGAAAGACCACCTTCTATCAGCTGTCTGTGATAGCCTATTTGACATATTCACAGTTACCCTCCATGTCTAGTGGCTCTCTATTCCACCCACAAACTCAGAACAAGTCTTGGTGACACAGCACCCACTTTACATGGAACATTCCTACTTACAAGCAATAACACATACCCTTAGTCTCTCTAGCTGAATTAGAGCATGACATGTCTTGAGCATGCTTAGATATTGCTGACCTTAAACCAACTGGTCATGGGATGTGTGGTAACCAACATAAAATAGGTTAGTAAATGTTTTTTAGTTACTGTCTGAGTACCAGAGGAAGATGTCATCAGTCTACATGATTCAGTCATACAGTAGCTAGAAGCCTACACTGTCACCCTATTCCCCATCAGAGACCTTCTTGCTTGCACAGAGCTACCTCTTTCATGATCTATGCTTTACACTAATACTAAGTTTTAACAAGAGTTTCTGTTGGAACTTATCCCATAACTGTAAAGGTTATACAGTGACCTACAAAACACCAAAGAATGGTCAAATGTTACAGGCCTGTAACATATACTCTTCTACCAACTCACCTATATTCGTTTAAAACTATATCTGTTTCAGTGCCATTAATACTGACACCAATTACTCTGGATTTTACAACAGACTGAGAATTTCCATCTCTTGGAGACCATGAAGACATTGCAGCTCTTCATTAAATCACAACTGTATAAGTACAAAATTACAATTATTAGAAATTGTTTTGAGAAAACTTAAACAACTGACATGAATGCTAAGTTCACCCACTCTACAGACCAGGGTACATCATACTGTGTGTAGGCAACTTTACAGAAGAAATGTCCTGTCTATGTCCGAATTTTCCATCAGCATATGAATACTGGAAATTCTGTCATGCGTATGAGTGACTAGACAAGGTTTGGATTGGTGACTGGATTTAATGATCACTTACAGATCATAACTATAAGTAATTATAATGCTATCGCTAATCTTCACACTTTACAAATCACTACAGAACATGCTAAGCCTTCTCAGTCTGCTTTCACTAGTCGTTCCCTGATAACAGATCTTAACAATGGAGATTCTTCAGCTTCTGTGCTCACATTGTTACTGTCTGGCATATATCCCACAACTGAACTGTTGCTACAAACTGTGCTGGTTATAATATCTTGGCATGGAAAGCATAGATAACGCCGCTTCCAACTTCTCCTCTATTGCTGCACATGGATTTGTTGCCATGGGAACCTGTTTGTTTCGCCAGTAACAGGTCTACACGCAGTTTTACAGAAGAACTGTCCTGTGTATGTTCCAATTGTCCACTAGCATATGAGTACTGTAAATACGAGTACATTGAAAACATTATCTGGCAATTTTCTAATGATAATGTAATGGACTATGTTTCTATTGATGATGCACACTTGATTGTACAGTAGATGAAGCATACAAAACGTTTTGGTACAAGTGTAGAAATTATGTCTACCATTGCCAAATTTAAGTCATAAAGCAGAATCTTATAAAATGATTATTTTTCCCCTTTATATATTCATGACACTTTTTCCTATACTGAAGCAGGAACAGAAACTGACAGTAATTTAAAACATTACACACACACATTAAGGATTTAAAGTTGCACTATCATAGGAAACAAAATATTTATGGGGTAAAGTTACATGAAATTGTGCTCATATGCAGGACTGATCCCTGACTTAAGTGCATTCCCCAGTTGCTCTATACTCTGGATAACGTTAGTTTATCTTGCTTTCAAGTTCCTCAGAATAAAGTTATTGAATATCTGCCTTAACCTTTAACAGACAAATGTGTTTATGACCTGCTCTGCCAAATAGAACCCAGCTTTGTTTTGAGAACTGAAGAGTAAATATTCATCTGTGCTCACAGATCAGTGCATCCAGAGCTTTCAAGGAAGTGTGACATATTCAAGGATTGGTTTCCAGTAACGAATTATCAGTTAGGAAGTCAGTGTCAGAGTCATATATTTCTTTATATATCATTTTTATTTTATCTTGGAAGACGTATAAACCTACTGAGCCAGCATTACTTTGTGAGTAAAAGGCATCTTCACCACTGTGACTTTCAGTATCAGTGTTGGACTGGCACTATTTCGACTATTATTATAATTACTTTGCATCACTATTTTGCGAGTATTACTAACAGGGGACAGTGTCGCTTTGTCAATCAACAAAGTTTATCCAATTCTGCTGGAAACCCCCTTCCCCAAGATGATTCTTCAATCGCACAAGGCAAATATCACGATTAGTGGAATTTCTCAGGGGAGTCCAAGGTTATCTGGGGCCCACCTGAGTCGACTGGAGGTGAAACATTCACAACACTGGCCAACCGAAGGGAAACAAAGACGTTGAATGTGTTCGCTAAATAAGAAAAACAGGAGCACCATTTTTTATTGTAAAAAGTGTGATGTTGCGCTGTGTGTGGCGGAGTGCTTCGAGAAGTGGCACACGCGCGTCAGAGTGTGAGGTATCGTAAACTGTGAAGTGACACAGTTCAAACTCGCGTAGTCTGAACAAAATATTATTGTATATAGTGTGATTATATTTACAATATCACCAAGTCTCAAGGCTGAAAAAAAAAAGAACTAGAGGTAAGTCCTCTGGAATGTCATAACATAATAAAGATTATATTTTGCATTTCATGACAAAGTAATCACAGTTAATTTTCCTTTGTAAAAATTGCTCTCTTGTGTATATGTAGAAAATTTTATTGTCTTTCACGCTGTTTTTAGTTCATATTTCTATGGTGCATAGAATGGAAAATATGTAGTTTTTTCTGAAAGTTTGCAATGTTAAAGACTTAGGGTGATTTAAATTCCGGCCGCAGAAGGCTGCTGGCAATTTAAAAGTCCGTATGTTAAAGGTTAATTTGCATTGCAAAGTAATATGAACTGTCTTCCCACTTGGCCACTTAATAATGTTACACAATTTCTGTCAAGGTACAAGCTTTGGCGACTTTCCCCAGTGACTGGCCAGTGACAGCCTATCTTCAGCTGAGTGCTACCAATTCATTTCAATACAATCTTATTTTTATTTAAACTGGTGGTTATGGTCAAATTAAAACTATAATTACAATCCTCTCTGCCATGATCTTACAAATTCTGTTCATTCTAGGAAAACAAAAAGAGATAGAACTGAGTAATTCTTTAGCTCCATTTAAAAAAAATACTGTGCAATACAATATACTGAAAAAACTGGTAAGTCATCGTGTTACAATTTATGGGTCATGTGATGGTTAATTTATAATCTGCTACATTTGTGTGCATTTTCAACAAATCGACAGTCTTTGCTGACTCCCATAAATTCAGCAAAACTACATTTGTTATAAAGTTTAACAACTGATTCTTCCATATCTGAAGGAGTACATGAAAAACAAGCGAACCTCTACCTTCATTCTGACTATATTATTTTCACAATGAGATATAAAGACTGCTCTCAGCAAACATCAGCAATGAAATATTTTAATTATATGATTACCATTCCCGTATTTCTGTGTGTGTTCCCTAAACTGAATATTCACAAGCACGGTCTACAAATGGCATGGCTCCCTAGATCATTCTGACTATATTATTTTTACAATGAGATATAAAGACTGCTCTCAGCAAACATCAGCAATGAAATGTTTTAATTATATGATTACCATTCCCATATTTCTGTGTGTGTTCCCTAAACTGAATAGTCACAAGCATGGTTTACAAATGGCATGGCTCCCTAGATCAGTTTACTATCACAGAGAGTGAATGACCGAAGAATCAGGATTCAATTTTGAGATTTCTCACTTCATCACTGTGTACAGATCAGCTCTTGGACCCATCCAGCTCCCTATTCAATAGCATTGTATATGTATTACTGAGTACATAAGTGTTATGAAGGGAACTACTGTATTTGCAATCTGAAATTATAGTTTTAAATGCTATACACTGCTGTCCAAAAAGTATCCGACTCTATATTTGCTGCAGTAAGTAATGGCCAAAAGCGTGGGGAAACTGAGCGTATAGTAGAAGGGCCTTTCATGTGTGTACATGATTTTTTGCTGACTTGCAACACCGCCGGATGCGTCTGTGGCTGCCAGATAGCGAAGTGGTGTAACATGTGTTTGTTTCACTAAAGGTGACAGAACGCTTGGAGCAGTGATACTGCATCAAGTTTTGATAGAAACTTGGGGATACCCAAGCAGAAACAATCCACAAAATTCAGCAGGCTTTCAGCAAAGATGCAATGGGGGTCACTCAAATTAAAGAGTGGTTCAACCACTTTAAAGATTGCCATATATCGGTCAACAGTGACCAGCATTCCAGGAGACCGTCAATGAGCCGAAATGCTGATGTCATTGAAAAAGTGCGGACATTGATCATGGAGGACCATCGTTTGACCATCCAGGAAGTTGGCGATAAAGTTGGGATCAGCAGAGGTTCCGCAAACACAATTTTAACTGAGGATTTGGGCATGTGAAAAGTGGTGGCAAAATTTGTGCCCAAGCTGCTTTTTCTGGAGCAGCAACAACTGCCTTGATGTGGCGCAGGGCATGCTGGAGTGCGCAAACAGAGATCCTGAGTTCCTGAAGACTGTGATCATTAGTGACGAGTCGTGGGTGAACGGATATGACCTGGAAACCAAGGTCCAGGCATCATAATGGAAGCATCCAAAAAAGCATGACAGGTTTGGAGTAATGTGAAGGTGATATTGACTGTTTTTTTCGATTACCGGGGTGTTGTGCATCATGAGTATGCACCACTAGGCCGAACTGTCCATAAGGAGTACTACCAAGAAGTCCTCTGCCATCTTCGTGATGCAGTTCGGCACAAGAGACCGGAGCTATGGGATGCACGCAACTGGCAGATGCATCATGACAATGCCCCAGCTCATTCATCACACCTGATCCAGTGTTTCCTGGCCAAGGATGGCATTCCGCAGGTTTGTCAGGCTTCCTACTCTCCTGACATGGCTCCTTGTGATTTCTGGTTGTTCCCGAGATTGAAGACACCACTGAAAGGCTCCTGTTTTGACAGCCGCGAGGACACCATACAGAATATGATGGCTCAGCTGCATGCCATCCCAAAAGAAGCCTTCCAGAATTGCTTCCAGCGATGGAAGGACCGCTGGGGTAAGTGTGTGAAGTCACAAGGGGCCTACTTTGAAGGGGATTAGGTACTGTAACCACCCAGATACAGAACTTTGTTTTCCCGGTACAAGGTCAGATACTTTTTGGACAGAGTATTATATACTGGGAGAGGGACAAGGATAATGTAAAATCAAGCAAATATAATTAGCATTAATGCTCATGAGAGCATTATTGTACACATATGATTTGTAAAAATTTTATAGCAAGGACTCTGTCGTTGTTATTTCAAAACTACAGCCGTAAACAAGTTACCTTAGTAGAGGAAAAACAACATATTCTTTGGAACTGACATGCCTCTATAACAGCAACAAGCCATTGTTACCGTGGGGGGGGGAAAAGAGAGTGTGTACTTAGACATAGCATGAACTGCTAATTTGCAATATCATCTCGAGAAACATCTCGAAGGTCAGCACTGTTACATCTGTATAAATACCCACCGACTGCCACCCTTACTTTACTTATTCATTAGTGGAACAGATGTGACTCTAATAAGAGGTAGACCACTGCTCTCCTTCAGGAAGATGATCGATTGTCTTTTTTGGTTCATATTCAGCTAGTGTATAATTATCTTGTAATAGTTGGTAACTTTCAGCTGCAGTACCTTGCACTTTCCACCGAGGGAAGTGCTTGCCCTGTCAGTCCCATCATGGGATACGATGGGTACAGGGGCCTCATTCCCCAGATGTAAAGTAGCTGGTGCATGAGGCTGACCACTCACTCCATCTAGTGCCAAAAATATATCTCCATAGCATGGTGCTTAATTAAGCACAGGGACAAGTTTACCTTCCTTTACAGGTACTTGTGACCTTCAAAATACATAGATTAAAAACCATATCCTTCTTTACATTTTCCTACCGATCATTTATAATAATTATTCATGGAATTCAAATATTTTTCTAGTGAATAGGAAACACTAAAGGCACACACTAAGAACTATTTTTTAAACGAAGGTAAAGATGCCCTGTACTTAATTAGGCACAATGTCACGACAACATATGGGTGAGTTATTGTACACTCATTCCTTTGATATTAGATGCAGATTTGTGTTCCATTCACCCACTCCCCCCATTACTTTCACCCAGAACCCACTTCACAGGCCGCTGAATGGGTCCCAGAACCAGCGCGGACATTGTTCAGCAAAAATCTCTGCCAATGCTGGGAAGTAAACCTCAATTCTAATTAGTAATTCTGACATCCACTTCAACAAAATTAATTATCTTTACTGTTCCTGTGTTTTCAAATATCCTCAATTGCAACGACAGATCTCCATGGAACACGAAAAAATCGGCAAACTTACTACCTCCATTTAAAACAACTGATAACATGACAAACCCTACAAAATAATGTGCACCAGTCACACTTGTTTATTTGGAAATTAAGTTATTGTTATGATTAACATGTAAATAGCTGTGAAACTACGTTCATCGTATCCCTAGGTTAACGCACCCCTCTCTCTTATCCTCGGTACACGACGAAGGTGAATTATATTGCACTACTCAGTCCTGAGGAAACGGGCCCCCACTGTGAAGTACGAGGGAAATTCTCCGATTATACCCCGAAACTAGCTCCAGCTTGTGCACCTCATCCCGACCGAACACACTACTTATTACAATACACTTTCTTCCCTTCACTGTCAGTGCCACACACTATTACCAACGACATCGCACTAGATCGTACATATATAGCTCTTGCTACTAGAACTCAAACCTGATTTGGCGGTCTTGTTGGTCTTGTTCGTCCCGCTTGTGTGCGATTGCGTCTCTCTTTAGCTCTTTAGGTGGGGATAGGTATTTAATAAACTAAATAGACATGCTTCTACTTTCCGGAGTAAAACTGAACGCACCTGATGCAACGGCTGCGAGTATAGTGTCTCCGAAAATACACATCTTGACGACCTCACCACGGATTAACAGTAACGAAAATTCCGCGTATTGATCCGTGTATCGCAACTACAGAAGAGACCGAAGAGACACAACGCAACTGGGTAAACCAAATCGGACAACATAATCATGAGCGATCATCAGCTTCGTGATATTCAGGATTCTCTGATTGGCACAAACTTATGCGATAGGTGTGTTATGATCAATTCCATTGCCAGACTATTTCATGTGGGATGAGTAGAGATGGCAGTTCTGCATGTTTGACCTGCTCCCTGTCCCATTTTCCTACCCCTGTTCGTGAGTGAGTGGTATGTAAACTATGTAAATATGGACCGATATGGACAGTAGTTATACGTGGGTGAAGCAAGTTATGAATTATATTTATAAGCTGCTGTGAATAAAGACAAGTGATTTAAATTTACAGTAATATTCAAGGTTATGTTGTATGCTACATGAACGCGTGAGAAATTTCATTGTCATTTTGTATGTTAATAATACATGAATGGCAGTTTCATCTGTAGTTTAATTTTGGTGCGAAGAAAGGCATTTAAAATGTAATGCTTGTGTTTTTCAGGTATTTGCTGCATTAAGGTGTTAAAGTTTTATAATGAATAAGTATTTGCAGCTTGCAAACGTTGGGACCAACTATGCACTTCGGATGAATAGGTTAAGCAGACAAATATTTGGCGAAGTTGTTCGTAACACCAATTCGAAGTCCATGAAGGTGGTGAAGCTTTTCAGTGCAAATCCCATATATCAACGTCCCGAAATGGTGGAATATTATCCTAGACATGTTGAAACTTATAAATTAATGATGAAGTTACGAGATTATGGTCTTTTCCGTGATGAACATCAGGATTTTAAAGAAGAAATGATAAGACTTAGAGCTTTAAGGGGCAAGATGAAACCAAAGAAAGGAGAAGGAAAGAGAGCACTGTTAAGAAGTAATACGTGAGATACATATAAGAACTTTTTCGCATTATCCAGTTTGAATAAGTATTGGGAGTATGTGTGCTTAGTTTGAGTATGACTGTATTCCTTTCATGTCTTTGAAGTAATTTCATGCAAGTAAACTTAATATTTAAAGTGGTGAAAGTGAAATGTTATTTAATCCCATCTATTTATAATCACAATGGAAAAATTTGGATTGTTTTACAATAATTCATTGATGAATTTTCTGCCGTACTAAAACACCTATTCCTGCACATTAAGAGCAAAACTGTAATTGTTTGATAATTTCAGAACAAGGTCATATCTGCACTTGTCACCATGCTTTGAAGGTTATATTGTCTAAAACACCTTTGAGGCTGTGTCGGCAGGTAGTAATGTGGATCCTTACGTCACTATTAGAAAGTTACCAGATTTAATTTTGTATATACAATGTAAACCAAAATTACTATACCAGAGTTCTGATTAACATGTAACAGCTTTTCCTCCATTAAAGTTGTCTGCTCAAGTTATCATGTTTTAAAACAATAACCATAATTTCTCCTGCTTGTTTTTGATGCAGTACAGGTAGACCGTGATATTGTTATGAATGTTCATGCCACAACAGAAGATAATATTGATGATATAAAGGACAGCTTCTATGAAGAACTAGAACATGTATTTGGTAAATTCCCAAGCACCATATGAAAAGTCTGTTAGGAGATTTCAATGCCAAAGTAGGGAGGGAAGACATTTTCAAACCACTGATTGGGAGTCTGCATGTCATTAGTGATGACAATGGAGTTAGAGTAGTAAACTTTGCCACATTGAAAAATCTTACTGTCAAAAGTACAATGTTCCCACATCGTAACATCCATAAATTTACTTGGAAGACACACAATCAAATTGACCATATTTTGACAAGATAGGAGATGGCATTCAAGTATACTCGATGTCCAATCATTCAGGGCAACAGATTGTGATACTGACCACTACGTAGTGGTGGCAAAGGTTAGGGAAAGACTGGCAGTGAGTAAACAACACACAGAGTTCATATGGATAGGTTCAATCTCAAGGAATTAAATGAGGTAGAGAGTAAAGAGCAGTATTATGTTGAAATCTCAAATAGGTTTGCAGATTTGGAATAATTGGACACTGAGGTGGATGTTAATAAAGCTTGGGAAACTATTAGAGAGAATATTAAAATTTCTGCCAAGGAGGGTTTGGCACAAAAACCATTATAAAACATTGGTTTTGGAAAAAGACTGCACTGTATAGGTATTCAGTCATTCCCTTCCTGCTATATAAACTCTTGTTTCAGCTGATATTTTTTCTCATATGAAATTCATTTCCTTCACTGACACTGAAAAATGCTTAAAACAAAGATTGCTGAAGAAACTGAAACATTCTCTATTCAGTGCATGTTTTCCATCAGTCTTACACTTATTGTTAAAATTTTTCTGAAAATAACATTACAAAACACACAGAATGCAAAGCACCCAAAGCATGTACTATAAAACTGACATGATTTGTTAAGTACTGGTACTGAAATGTGTTGCCCACACAGAAGTGAACAATATGCGTTTGCATAAAGATGCAGTGTCTAATGATGTAGAAGTTGGTGTTCAATGTACCTTGAGTGTGAAGGATGTTAATGGGTCCTACGTTTTATACAGACACAATTCTTACAGATATGTAAAATATTTCAGGCATTTTTCAGGCAACTGGCATATAAAGAAAAATTCTTAACACTTCCAACAAGATTCAGCAGCTGGACATGTTGGGCATTCAATGAAAATACTGAACATAATGTTTGGTGAAAAGGTTATAAGCCACAGGTTATGGCCATCTCATTCTACAGAAATACTCAAAAGAGAAAGTCTACTGAACCAATCCACACTCAAAATAATCCCAAGGAAACACATAACTTGAAGTGCCTTGTGTATCAGGGAACAATTACAGCATGTGAACCAGAAAGTATTTCAGTTTTAAGAATGCATCCAAACCAATGTGGAACATATCTGGCATCTCCTATAATGTAGATATGTATACACCTCACTATGCAAAGTTGCTATACTTTCATTATAATCAGCGCTGAGTGGGCAGGAAACATAGTAGTTGACACAGTGTTCATGCACAACAGAAATGCTGTGCTTTACCTCAGCCCACAATTCTCTTGTATTATACAAGTATATTTATATGCTGAGATTTATTTGTTCATAATAAAAACATTTTCTCCATACTACATACATAAGAGGGTGAAAGTTACATTCACAAACTGTTGTACAGACATGACACTTCTTATCCACTGCTCACTTATTCATTACATAAAATCTTAATTAAACTGTGTTGTAAAACTACAGTTTCAGTTGAACTACAACACAAATTACTATTAGCAGTGACACAGTTACTCCACAATATATTTCTCTCTTAAAGGTATATACAATACAACCTTCATCACCCACAAAGTGGACTGAACATTACACATTTAAAAGATTTTTACATCTCATGTAAATAAGATACCAGTTTAGGATCAACAACAGAATCAAACAGTACCAGTGACAGGATAAATGTCAATAGCAGGCTGGAAAGACTACAGTGGACTTCAATGTATTGTATATAAAATACAGCATTCAATGCAGAACACTTTGGAAGAGCACAGCAGGGAGCAAATCATGTCACTGACAAGTACTGCACTAAAGTTAAAAATATCTGTAATATACCTAAGAGTGCAGAGAACAGTGGTTCTCAACTAGGTGTGCTGAAGATGTTTTCAAAGGATGTCACAGATTTTTAGATTTAACTTTTTAATGCTACAAATTTTTCTTTGTGTATTAAATGTAATAAATACAAATTAGTGTTCAACAGTAATTCCATTACCAATGAATAGACGGCACCAAAGTATATGCATGTACACTCGACATTGCCAACAATGTACACGATAATTACTGCAGCTTGTATAACCTTTATGGTATGCATCTCTGATAAAAGAATAGTGGCTTTTGTTAATATTACCTTTTTACTGCATTTAATAAGCCTTCATGGACAAATTTCTTATTAAGATGGGGAAAAAATCGAGATCAAGAATTGGTGATATGTATGACTTCACAAATGAGTGTACAAAGGAATCAGACACCACATAATAAAAGTATTATAGTTGAACTCATCTTTATAAGACAGTATTTTAGAAATGGGATTTACATGGCACAATGATGAATTTCAACCCAACCCTAAATGTGTGTGGAAAAATATTAGAAAACAGCAATTAATGCAATACTTATCTATAAAACACAATCACCTTCATAAAAAAGACACTACAGTGATTGAGGCTAGCTCTTTCTAAGGGACCCAATAGAGTAGGTGTCTTCCCTCACCTGAGGACGGAAACAGATCCTCTTTCTGAAACGTGTTTTTTCTTAGTTATTTGGAATCTGGACAAAAATCCAAAAACCCAGTATCTCTGTGAGACACTACATTTCAAATGACTTTTAAGTCCTCATAAAAATAGTTGTATTGGCACTATAAAAATATTCAAAGTCACTGATCAAGCTGATGAGACCATGTACTTAGTACCAGAAATACTAGTGAAAGAAATGACCTCATATAGTTGGAGAGACATTAATTCATCTAACCTGTGCAGCAATTGCTAAGAACAATGCTTGGGACTGAGGCAGAATTAATAAAAAAATCTTTAAGATGATATGATGAGTAGACATATAAACAACATGTCAGTTAGTATAGAAAACAATAATATACTTACAAATATAAATCACTCCGTCCAATGTGACCTGTAAGTTTTTTACTACATGAAAACTTAACACCCTTACTTGTTTCGGTCTCTGTGGACCATCTTCAGAGGGCAAACATCACTACAAATAGGAAACCACCATCACATAAGTTGTTTAGACGTAAAGTACGTACACTTATATGCTACAATACATAGTACACAAAATAGAACATTTCACAAACACAGCAGTTTCCTGGGAATGTAAAGTTTTTTAAAAAATTGTATAAAATTTCTTGATGCTAATTAAAATTTTTTTGTATTGTCAATAATTAAAATTCGTAAACCATGCAGGCTCGTGTTTGTCCTCCCATCGTCCCTCTTATATGGGGCAGATATTGTGCCACCTGGCTATCTTGATGTGGAGGTTCTTTATATCGTCCAGGGTTTGCTCGTGGCTGCTGTGCTGTTTTCACTGTTAAAGTTTTTTAAAAAACTTTACATTCCCAGGAAACTGCTGTGTTCGTGAAATGTTCTATTTTGTGTACTATGTATTGTAGCATATAAGTGTACGTACTTTACATCTAAACAACTTATGTGATGGTGGTTTCCTATTTGTAGTGATGTTTGTCCTCTGAAGATGGTCCACAGAGACCGAAACATGTAAGGGTGTTAAGTTTTCATGTAGTAAAAAACTTACAGGTCACATTGGACGGAGTGATTTATATTTGTAATTGTTAGTGTGACGGACCAGAATGAAACAAATAAAAAAAAAAATATACTTGTTCTCCAAGCAGGTCAAGTCTATAGATACTGGAAGGAAAGCTAAGCCATTTGTATTCACTTAGTGTACTGAAGGTGAATATATAGAAACATTTTTATGTTTGAAGGAATTCTTAAAAATCCACAACTAGAAACTTTTTTTAATGTTTTGAATGGAAACCTGTAATATCCTGGTTTATTATGGGACTCATACATAAGCATATGCCCAGAGGGTGTACCTTCAATGGTTAGCTCTTTAAAGGGACTTGAGGATCCCAATATGTGAACCTTACTCTACAGATTAAATAGGGTGGTTCTCTGAAGATCGTGGTGAACTGTGTTTATGAGTTAGAAGATGTGCTTGCATGTTTTGATCTTGAAACGAAACCGTAAGTTTGTGAATTTCTGCAAGATGATATTTGGTGTAGAGAACTAGCTTACAACACTCATAATTTCAACATTTGAACAAGGTAAAATCCAGAAGATATGAAAATATCATTCTTCTGCAGTAAAAACTGTGATTTTGACAGATACATTAAAACCTCAGAAACAATATGTAAAGGTAATATGGATATTTTTATGAAAACTGCTGCAAAAATACAGACACAGAGGAGTGGCCTATGAATACTTCATTAGAGGAAGAAATTCATCATTACTTCCCAGATATACCTGTTAACTGTTCTGACTGGATAAGAAATCTCTTTGCTGAACCTGAAAACATGAAGTCAAGTTTTACTGATGAAAAAGAGGTAACTGAAATTTTCGTGATATTCAGATTAAAGCACTAAGAAATTCCACTACTTCAGGATACTAATTAAGAGAAATATCTTGACACAGAAACTGAAACACCTCCAGTCTTGACATACTTTTCCATATATTTGTGTGTAACGAGATTTGCTGTATTTGTCAATATAAAAACTAAAAGGAGGCAAAGACTAAAGTCAATCAAGAATGAAATGCAAGTACACGTATGTTTATCTAAAATTTGTCCTAGTACTGAAGGAACATTTAATGTCACCAATCCCATTTTCACATCATATGTCCGTCTTAACTGACTTTATCTCATTTACAATTCTGTATCTTTTTAATAAACACGTTATGTGACCACCACTGTTTACATATCATAATTGGGTATCAGAGAGGTGGAAGTGTCTGGTGCAGTCATTTCCAACCTCTTTTTCTTCATGAAGCGCCCTTTTGGGTTTCACTTCCCACTGCCCCAATTGCTGACTGAAATATGTAGCCCTTTGTACTTCTTGCATTTGTATTATTCTTCATGATCAACTGACTCATAATTATTTTACCCATGTATCTGGTGCATATGGGGAAGATAAAAAAGTATGACATGAAATATGATGGAACTGATTTAACTTTTTTTCATATTCCTCAGGGATGGAATTTGCAGACCAATATTTGTTACAACAATAAAATTCCAAAAACAAGTAAAACCAAAACACTTAAAATGAAAATCTGCACAGTGATCTTTATTTGGTGATAAGTGATGCTGACAAATGTTAAAATATAAAGATTCTATTTTTTTTTAATTTGGATTAGTAATTCTGATGGGCGTTTAGAGAAGAGGTGATTCAATTAGGTAAAAAAAGATGTATTTCAACTGAATTTATCATAAAAATTTACTTTTTTCAGGGTATTATCCCCCCCAAAAAATCCTGTTCTCCCCAGGTAACTCAGTTGGTAGCATGAAACCTGTTCACGTGACAAGAGTAGAATGTCAGGTGAACTCTTTTATGAGTCTTGTTGGATGGCCAGGACATGCAAAGTGACACTACATGTGCTGATATGTAGATCATTATTTTATTAACTACTGATTTTTATGCATACACTCACGTGGTGATTCAGCACAGTTACACTTTGATCAGAGTTCATCACTTATATATATGCTGGTACAAGAATTTGTTCTGAACGTATGAAGCTGATTCTATACAAATTACAAAGAAATGATGTTGCTACTTCACAGTATTGCAATCAAAAAACAATGACCTTGCACTCCCAACAAATGATTCACAAGAAGACTGCTGAAATGTTACTTCTTTGTTCTGTGATCTAACACAAATGCCATGGTGTTATAATACAAGCTAAAATCTCTGCATTATTATACCTGAAGGGGTGCCCTGAATTATAATACATAACTCTAGGGTGTGTTTAGTGAAAAAGTTTGTGAACCACTGTTCTAGAAGTTCTAATTATGATCATAAGACATCTCACTGACAGGAATATTAAGAGATGACACAAATATATTATGTTGCATCTATATTCAAAAACCAAAATGTTTCAGGCATTAGGCTAAAAAGGATAATATTCTGCAGCAGGGGGGAATGTCCTTATCAAAGCATAAACCATTGTTCCTTATATAAAATTACCAATGTCATACTCTATGTCAGTGTACAATTATTCTTATTATAATTCTTGGTCTACATGATGGCACTTTCAATTGCCAAGATTATATAGTATCAGATGATATTACTGAATAATGAATTGGAACAGATGTGGAAGGAAGGAGTTGTGACAATGTAAGGTCCACCTTGGCACATGGAAGGTCTGAGGAACACCATGAGAAACCAGTTATGATGGCCAGTTTCTGAGCTCAGATTTGTACCTAGGATCTTGAAAATACAAAGCAGGGGAACTTGGCAGTTCAATTATTCTAAAGAATGGAACCATTTACATATGGCTGTATGACAGTCTCGAATATTATGCTGGAACCTACTGCCAGAATTATACTAATGTTAACCTCAACTTTAATATAAGTGTGATATGATAATGCTACAAACACAAATATTTAACCACATATTAACTTAATGCATTGTTGTACCTAATGCAATGTTAAAATGTCATTCTTTATTCAGTATGGTTAAGTTACCTGGTCTGATCACATATGAATCCAGTGACCCTGAATAGTAAGGTAAAGAGTTTGAAAGCAGCAATATTCTATATTTTTTAAGAATAAAATAATGAGAAAGAAAATGTTTAGTGGCCAATAAGCAGATCTCTTTGTATGGCAGTGCTATGCACTTTTATTACTTATTAAATAAATTAAATCAGAGACTAAATATGCTGTATGATAATAAGTAATATGTCTAATAAGCAAACACTCATTCTTTGGTTTTCTTGATTTGATAATATTCCTGAAAAGACTTTTTAAAATCATAATTCTGGCATTTTAATTTTGGCTTGCATGTACAAGAATCTTCGTTATTATGCAATTTGAACATAAGTGAAAGCTTTTCACTCCTTCATTTTCATCATCATCATCCAAATGCTGCCCTATTATCTTCATTTTCTCTTGAATTATCATCAAACTTAGGATAACATAGTGCTGAATCTGGGCCTTTAACTGCATACTCATTTTCCCTAATCGTGCACCTCTTTTTTTTTCCTTCTTCGTAACTTGCAAAGTACATATATTTGAAGCACTTTGACACATATCTAAATCTTCTATCTGAAATAGAACTGTCTGCAGTGTTTATGAAGCATTAAACTCTTCACTTCTATCAATAATAATGTAATAATATTGATATTTAATATTTTTATGCTGTTCTCTGAATTTCATATTGAGGGAAGCAGGAAAATATATTTTTGTTTTCGATATGTGTACAGAAGTGAACTACTGTAATCTCAGGGTGCAACTGACAGAATGAGGCTAAGTGAGACTGTGAGAACTATGCATACACTTGTATTATTTAACTGTACTACTCAGCGCAATGGCACAAAGTACATAAAAAACTAAAAAAATCCATGTACTGAAAGATCAATGGTATTAAAGTGAAATTTCATAAGCAGAGATGTTCATAAATCAAGGAATGAACATGTGTAACTTTCATTCGTACACTACATGACCGACACAATTTGTGCATTTTCCTCAATAACAGAAACTGCTTTGGTACTATGTGTGTATGTGTGTAACACACTCTGATACAACTGTCATGTAAGTAAAGTTTAAGTGCTGAGGTTCACATGCCCACAGAATGCAGTTATGGAAGAAACATCAAATGTTTCAATTATAACTCAAGCAAAACTCTTTCAAGTTTAGTGCAAGACCAAAAACCATAAGCAGCTTTCCCCAATTGGAGAATGATATCAATATTACACTTGAAACCTTTTCCCAACACTCACTGTAATACACAAGACTAAAAGTTCGCAGTTCAGTAAATTAACCCATCGATTTCCATTCTGTCACACAGATGGGAGTTCCAAAATGTGTACTCAAATTACACAGCCATCTCTGAGACAAATATTACATACATAAAGAGACAAAACTAGCCCAGCACTAACATTCAAACTGGTTCAGTTTTAAGAGGAAAAATCTTAATGACACATGATAAAACTGACTCATGTATGCAATGCTTACATTCAATAAAAGTATTCAACATTTTATAAAGGGAAATGAAACAGAACAGCACACTGCAAATGGGGACAATTTTTGAGGGTGACCACTTCTCTCATACTCCATCTCCCCATTTTCAATTTCTGCAACAGTTATGAAAGTAATGGCTGAAAGATGAATTAGTTTGAGCAAAATTTTTTCCACCCTTTCTTAATGTCTGTAATAATGACACAGGATACATTTCTTCGCATGCATGTATGTGACTTCCAGATTTCAATTCTGTTGAGAATCTATTTTCAACATACTCCTGGTATTCATACATTGGTAGGAGATTCCAACATACATACACAGGACTTTTCTTTCACATTTTGCCTACACAAGGTATGAGATACCCTGGTCTGTAGAGTAGATGGACTTCAACAAAAAATATATTTCCCAAGTGACATTCTTACAGAATATCTTCAGTCAAATACACATGATTATTCTGGGAGACCTGAAGATTTCAAAATTTCTTACATTAATGATTACATAAGATTCAACTGTTTCCCCCCCAGTAATTAGAATCTTAGAATGTTTTCTTACTAAATATTACTGACATGTAGTTACAATCCATATTTCATTGGAGGTGCATGAGATTTCCTGTCACTGGCCCTGAGGCAAGAACGGGTTTCATTAGTTCATGATGCTTGAAACATTAAAGTTCTTCCTTCCCTTTTGCAGTCACCAGCTCCTCTGACTCTTGGCTATCAGGTTCTACATCTAACTTATCATCAGTATTCTCTTTGGATTGCTTATCTACTTTCTTTCCCTTCTTTTTTGGGGGGGACTCTGTTCTTTCTTCTTTTGACAGCAATGATGGGAATGGCTCATCCAGGCATTTATCACTTTCTCCCTTAAGGGCTTTCTCTGAACAAAGGAACTGTTTCAGAGAAACTTCTCCCTGGTGAGTGAAATACCAATCTTCTATAGCTTGCTCATTTTCTTCTAACAGTGACTCACACTACAACACAGAGCACCATATTTTAAACATACGAAAATGTGATCAAAAAAGTAAAGTGAAATTCAGATTATCCAAGCTTCTACCAATGTCTCTGCTACCGAGCTGCAACTGACCGAAGACACTTCCCTCTCTAAAAGACACATACTGCATGTAAATCCCATGATCTCTACAGGTTCTTCACAGGCTTGTCAGACAGCAAAACACCTCTTGTCTCAGTCATCCAGTTCTTGCAATTACTGTACACACCAAATGTATCTCATACCTCTCTAAGAAAGGCAAGAAATGTCTGGTGTGTTACCTGAGATTTCTGTTACATGATGTAGCCATGTTCATTCACCTTAGATAATCAAGGACTCATTCTGACTCATACAGTGAGATACAAAAGTAACATAACCTCTTAATGTAAAACTGTACAAAATAAATATTGTAGCACGCAGAACTGTTGCTATGCAATGTGTGCACTGTGACATCACACAAAAGTATGTGGCTGTCATGTGACAGGTTTCCTGCGCGTCCATCAGCTTGCATGTGCGGTAATGTCACACAACAGTGGTGGGTAGCGATCATGTTACATGTGTTTATGATGATGCACTGTCTGTCCCTTGGCTATATAAGTGAGTGTGTGTGACAGTTAAGTTCAGTTAGTTATGGGAGAGAAATAGTAGCGGCAGAAGCACACGAACGGAGTACAGAAGAATAGGGCAGGTCGATCTGTGAGAATTTAAAGTGTGATTTCAAGACTTTATGTATGCTATAGTGCAGATGGATTGGGAGTGTGTGTAATCCAGTGAGACTTGTATAGCTCCCGTGTTATAAATATGTGAAAACTACTGCAGACAAACTGAGAAGATTAGCATGTAGTGAGTGTAAATGGTGTAAACCTGCAACATTGTAATAATTATGGGTAGTTACAACTAGTGAAGATCCAATAAACCAATTACCAATCCGAACTCTCATCTCTAGTCACTAATACACATGACAATATTGTACTTCAGCATCCTGTTGTGACTAAAAATGAAAACTACATCTATTATATTTCTCCAGCCATCCCTTGATTAATAAAGGGATTCAGTATATTGCTCATATACCGATATGATTCATGCTGAAAATACTATTCCCCCAGTAATTCACTACATACTTGCAGCATACCACATCCTTATTCTTACACTCTGTAATGGAACTTATGGAATGACAACGATTTTGGTAACTCCACATTAAAAAATTCTGTGTGCTGACATGACCACTAAGGTAAAACCATGCCTCATTAATTATGAACAGCAGCTGTGCATCCATAAATTTCTCACAGATACTTTTAGCAACCAGTTAGAAAAGTGAATTCTTGTTGTACAGTCTTGCTTATTTTTATTGGGTTATACTATGATGCTTTTGGTATCAAGACTGTCTAGCAATGGATGGTACGATGAATGATGAACTGGCCAATATTTTAACTCAGCACCTTCTGAATATGAGTTCTAGACCAACTTGTTCACTCATGATCTTGCTTATGCTTATGCACAACCATTACTGTATACAGAAAAATGTAATTGGTCATATGACAGTAAATGCAGATCCCAGTGAAACACTAATCTCTTGTGCCTAGTGTATTACTGATTTCCAAAGACTGATTTATATCTGTGGCTGAATGTTTTAAACATTTTCTTCAGTTGGCATGCTCCTACTGAACTGTTTCCATTGAGTTAGGTTTTTTTGGGGGCAAAAAAAAAACCTTTTTGCACCTCAAACACTGATGGCTACTAATTTAAACTGACTGTACAACAAACTGTCAAAAACAATTTTGCTTCTAAAATGACTGAATTAATTTTGTGAATAACTGCAGGCCGAAGACACAAAACAATAAATATATTGCATTTGACACTGATAAGACATTACCTGAGTCTTCATGTTTGTGATTTCAGCAGATGGCCTGTCCCATAACTCATACGGAATCCCCAACTCTACCTTCACACCTTTGTTACTGAAAATAAACATAATATAGGAAAAATCTTACACACTGATGATACAGTAACAATCAGCAATACAGAGCAACCCAAACATATTATCATTAAAGGCGATAAATCTGGGATGCTGAAATTTTGTTTGACAATATAGATCTTGCTTAATTCTGTGAGATACAAAAATAATAAAAAAAGACATCTGCACAGAATATTGTTGACAAAATATTTATCACAGAACACTAGCAGGTTTAAAAAACATGCGAGTTTTAAGTAGATTCCATGAACTATAGTGTAAAATTAAAATTATTTTACATTTTTCGGCCTTCTCAGGTAAATTGTGGAACTATAGTGTGTAACAATATGATGTTACATGTTTGCACTCTGATTCATACAGTTATGTTTACCATATGCATTATGCAGTTGGAAGTTATCAGAAGCAATGTGACATAAGCTCTTACTTTGTCATCAGAACAGGCAAGATATTTCAGCTGAGTGAGGTTTCCATTTTATGAAAGTGCCATCTTACAGGTAGGTGGGTTTCAATGTGGTTCTCTACAACCTAAGATGACCACTATACACCATGTTGCATAATTCCCTCCGGGATTTCAGAGGTCTGTAGCTCAGAGACAAACTAGCCCACAGGGGACAAGAGCATGTCAGTGAAAAGAGTAAGGCCTCTTACACATGACACCACCATGGTCACGCCACCACGAATTTTGATGGTGCTTTTCCTGGCAGCGAGAATATTTTTTCTTGCCACCAAATATGCCACCATCTTGGATCAGTCTCAAAATGGAATTGGAAGAGGCAGGCGCTTTAATCTTTTTGTTCTCCTGTTTGCGTAAACGCCGTAAAAGACGGAGATTTTGGGTACACCCAATCTTAAAAGACTGATCAACGAAAGGTATTTTCTACACAGTGTACAGTAACCTTCGACAGAATCCTGACAAATTTTCATTTTTGCATGCATGAGCATCGCATCTTTTGATGAGCTGCTACAGTGTATGAAAGAAAAACTGACTGGTGTGGAAACCAATATGAGACAGCATACCACCGGAAGAAAAGCTCATGATCACATTGAGGTAAGAAAAAATTTTACCTTCTTATAGGTTAATTTTAATTAGCTTTATTTGTTGACTGAAACTAATACAGCCTTAGAAATACAAAATTTAAAAAGAACACGTTTTTTGCAGTGATATTTTTAGTCCTGGAAAAGATTATCAATTTCAGAGTCACAGCTGTATTGGGTTCCAGGAGAAGTAACTGACTCTGGAGAATGAACTGTAGTAAAAGTTTGATGCATAGTGGGCTGTAGTGGGATTAAAGTGTTGTTGAGGGAGTGGTTGGATGGGTGGAGTTGTTGAAGGTATTGATGTTGAGGCTGCTGGCTGAATTGATACTGGAGGTTGGGCTCCTGTGGGTGATTTGTGATGAGGTTAGAAGACATGGTCCTTGTATAGGCATTTCCTATTACTTGCATCATTTGCATACGAACAGACAATCGCAAGTGTTCTGGAATCTGTTTCATTGCACTGAGGAGTGATAGCAAAAACAACTGATCACCATCATCTTCCTTTGACTTTTCTCTCTCTTCTTGGGACTGAATGCCAGCTTGAAGCACGTTGACTAGTTGTTCAACACTGGGAGACACCTTTTCTACTTTCTTCCTCTTGTTATGTTCCACACTGGGCCCAGGTGAAATTGTAGTGGCCTCTTCACCATCAGGAGTGACCTCATCGGCAGCAGTTTCCTTCATGTTACTCAAAGTATATTTACTCTTGATGACTTTATGTAGGAAAGAAAGCTGATTGTAGAACACATACTGAGTTTTTTGTGAGGCAGCTGACCCACTTTCTATCTTTGCCTATCTTTGACACTCCCTAGAGAAGCAGTCTCTCAGACTTTTCCACTTACACTGCAAAACTCTACCTGCAACAAAGACAGAACATTATTTAGGAATTTGGAAAAAATTGAAATGTATTTGTAAGTAGTTTCTACATTGTTCTGCTTTCTATGTTACAGATATCTCACAAGTGGTTGCTCAATGACCGACTTACATCTTTACTTCTGGCTAGGAATATCAACAATAAGCAACATCATAAGCAAGTCTGTCAAGAAATATGGAGAATAATGAAAAGTATATGTTTACATGTACCAGATGCAGAAAAGTGGAAGTCTGTAGCTGATGATTTCAACATTAGAACAAACTATCCTAACTGTGCAGGCGCTTCGGACGGAAAGCATGTATGTGTAATTAAACCCGTAAATAGTGGCTCAGTGTACTACAATTATACACACTTTTTTTTTCATGTTGTATTTTAGCGTCCTGTTGCACTGATTCATGTCCATAATGTGTATATATTTACCATCTTTTAGTGCATACAATTTCACTTGTCACTTCATACTACATGTTTCGGCATCATTCTGCCATCCTCAGGTGCATCAATCATGTTAAACCATTGCACTGCCTGCCATCGAGTGTTCATTTATAAAATGATATAAAATGTGTGTTCGTCATTGTTCAATAACAAAATTTATATATTAAAACTAGTTAAGATCTATCATCTCACATGTCATATATGAAACTCGTGTATAACGCCATTCATCCAACTTTTTTTCAATTGTTTTCTTGACAATATGTGATTCAAACTATTTGTTTACTTTCGTTTACATTGGTGCCTATGGTAAAGAAAGTGATTCAGCTGTTTTCAAGAAGAGTGCCTTATGTGATGCTATAACAAACAAGTTAAATTTGCCTGCAGCCACACCTATCAGTAAATATGATCAAACAGCTTTGCCATATGTAATAGTGGCAGATGAAGCCTTTGGACTTTCAGATCATGTAATGTGCCCCTTTGGCAAGAAAGCTTTGACAGAAATAAGAAAAGTATATAACTACCGCCACTCCTGTCCTTGTAGGTATATAGAATGCGCATTTGGAATCATGAGGAAGAAGTGGAGAATATTCCATTGGCCTATGAATGTGAATATTTCCTTAGCAGAAGACATCATAAAGGCATGCTACATCCTACACAATTATGTTAGGAGTAGGGATGGCTACAGATCTGAAGAAACTGAGACATCTCTATACTGAATCGGAAAGCAGAGGAAGAAGTGCAGCAGTATCAATTCGTGACAAGTTTGCTGACTTCTTTGACAGCGACGAAGGTGAACTGCCATGGCAATATCGTGCCATTTGATTTTTTCTATGCTCTTTTGAAAAGTTGTTACTTCTAATGCACGTTCTTTATCATTTACTTACTGAATTGTATTTTTAAGAATTTTATAATAAATAATATACACTGAGTTTGAAGGCACAACACACTTCACAGAACACAATGCAGAAATGTCTGGCCACACTCACAGTCGCGTCTTGTGTGAAGACTTTCATATAATACAATGCACTGAGGTGGTGGCTCGAAAAATCGCATCCTTCCGCCACCAGCCATATGGCAGCGCTTCCAGAGGCGCCACAGCCACCACGTGTGAAAGGTTTCATTTAAAGTTATTTGCTGACACGGCCATTCCACCCTGGTGGCGTCGTGTGTAAGAGGCTTAAATAATTAAGTTTTTAACCTACCTTACAGATGTTCCATATGTCCTCCTCTGGCGACTCGACACACATCAATATTGTAATCTAGCTCTTGCCACACACGTTGCAACATATCAACATCGATGGTATCAATCACAGCCATGATTCTCTGTTGAAGCTCTGGTAAATCTCTTGTAAACGGGGCACATAAACTTAATTTTTCACATAGCTCCAGAGGAAAAAGTCACATGGAGTGAGGTCGGGTGACCTGGGAGGCCAGGGAATAAGTGCAGAGTCTTTGTTAGACAGACATCAATCCAACACTGAGGTAAAGTGGTACTGAGGTGATGGCAAACTTCCAAATGACAATGGGGATGAGCTCCGCCCTGTTACAAAATTAAATCATCACTATCCTCCTGTAACTGAGGCAACAGCCATAGCTCTAACATGTATAAGCAAGCACAATCATTAACATATTTCTTAAACAAAAAAAAAGAAAAATGGTCCATAGACTTTCTGAGATGAAACTGCACAAAACACATTAACCTTGGGGGAATCACGCATGTCTTGAAGTGTTGCACGAGAATTCTCCATACCCCAAATATGCACATTATGGTGGTTGACCTTGCCAAAAAGATGGAAGCACGCCTCATCACTGAACACTAACTTATCTGCTTCCTCCTGTAGACGTTATTGAAATTCCAAACAGAATTCATGGCGGATATTGTGAACTTCAGGAGTGAGAGCCTGAAGCAGCTGCAACTGGTAGTTTACAAGCAAGTCTTTTGCGTAAGATGTGCTAAACAGTCATGTGAGACATTTCCAATTCTCAGCTTGCATGACATGTTGATTTTTGAGGACTCCTGGTAAAGGATTCTCATATGCGGTCCACAGTCTCAGGCGATGACCCTGGCCTGCCTGTACTTTTTGCAGCACATAAACAGCCCATTTCCTCAAATATCCTGTACCACTCTCTCACTGTTTTGTCCATCAGTAGTTCTGTATGATACTTGGTTCGAAAACCATGTTGCACTGTTATAATTGACAAGTTGCAAGACGCAAAAAAAATTGTTTCCTTGAAAATGCCTGTTTCCACACTACTGCCTCCTAGTGCAGAAACAGGTAACTAAGCCACAGCACAAGACGTAAGAAGAAAATTTGGTTCTTTACTCCTTTCATTGACATGCTCTCGTCCCCTCTGGGCGAGTTTGTCTCTGAGCTGCCATAGACGTCTGAAATCCCAGAGGGAATTATGAAACACGGTGTATATCTGTAATTTAAAATATAATTGTTTGCTAGATGTTATACTTTTAGAATATGTTTCAGAATAGGTACAATATAAGAACAACCCTCAATAACAAAGCCACGGATGTGATCACAACTATGAGATTTAGATGGTCTCATATGTTCTGAGGCCTTAAAAGCACCAACTGGAGAAAGCAGCTGCAGATAAAAATCCAGACTATAACAAAAGAGAGAGGAAGATCACTTGTCAAGGATACTTATATTATTGCGATTTTAGTAATTATAGATGGGGTTTGCATTGGAAATTGGATTTATTGAATGCCTACAACTCATAAGGGCTATCCACAGAATTACTGGGTTTTGGACTTTTCCCATCGTCTGGTTATGTAGAAAACAGAAAGCACATTTTGGAAACTGGATCTGTTTCCATTCTCAGGTGGGGGGGGGGGAAGACACCTACTCAGTTTGGCCCCTAAGAAAGAGTTTCTCAATCACTGGCACCAGGTTCCATTTTCATCACCTTCTACAACTCACAGGGTGATGGTGGAGATATCCTAACCAGCCTCCATACAGGGGTGTTTTAGCAATTATAACCATTACAAATTTATTGCGAATTCAATTTCCTACTTAAGAATCTTGTGCCTCAAATTCAGGAAAACTGAATATTATAGATCTGAAGGCAGAAAACCAAATCAGTGCAAACTTCAAGGATAATAAAATGCCACATATTTATACTTCCATGTTTTCTGAAATAGATTATTAACACAGTGATTCAAGGATATGAAAATCAATTTAAATGCTGTTTTACTTACACTAGGCCATGAAGTGTTTGAAATGTCTGGCTCATGCCCTTATCAAATCTTGAGCTGTCCTTACGTTCCTTGTGAATGTTGTACTGTAGCACCCTTTCACAAAGACCATCTAAGGATTCAACAAGACGCAACTCACTGAAAGGGAAAATATATTTTTCATTTCAGGCATCCTGTTGTGTTATAATGTACAACTTCTTTATTAAAACCATCAGAACACAACTATATAGTTCAATATAGTTGTTCTGCAATGGTTTTAATAAAGAAGAAGTTGTAAAATATATTTTAGTTTCAACGGACTATTGTGTAACAGTTCATAACATGTCACAGGAATCTGAATGCAGTATACTACTGGATTGTCTGTCTTGCGGTTCTCCATGACTTTTGGGCATGCTCAGAACAACTTGAGAATGGCCATGCAGATTTTCACAAAATTTTATATTTGAAAATCTTACAAAAACTATAGAGCCATTCCAATTTTCATTTAGATCACTTCTAATGACCACTTTATGTGAAGACTATTGTGCATATCTGTTCAATCTTGAGCAGTACTAAATATTTAGTGGAGCGAAAAATGTTTCGAACAAAACTTGTCGAGATAACTGAAATATACATTTTGTGTTCAATGTCCCCTTCCCTTTGCTCTTGTAATTCTTGAAATAATTAAACAATCTGGACTCTATGCATATACTTCCAAATTTCCATACATCTTAGATTTGTTTTTCTCACTTATTCATATGTCTTTTCCCATTCATTAGCATGAATGATGGCAGTATACTGCATATATCTTTAAAATAATATATTGGTAATTATTCTGTGAGGGCCTTACAACAGGTCAGTATCAGTACAATTTCTAAATTTTTTAGAAAACAAGAAATGCATTTGTGGGAACTGCCCACATTCAAACAAATGTTACTGTGACACTTCAGGTACCATTGCTTAGAAACAGCGAGTAAACAGTTGTCGCTATGTAAAGTCTACAACAATATGTGACTGTGGGAAGCACCCACAGTGGATCAAGTGCTAGTCAATTACAAGTTAGGAACCATTCACTGCTAAGCAACGGCCGAGTAAACAGCCGGTGCTAGGCAAGCCTGCAGCAATAAGGACAGTGACATGTTTTCTATAGGTCCGACTCAAGGTTATATAAGAAGATACACTGAGTGGAAGTTTAGAGTTAGAGTTCGAACCATGTGGAGGTGGGGTCGAATACCTCCACTGTGACCCTGCAAGTCGTAGGAGGCGACACAAAGAAAAGTCTCAAATCTGTGACTGTAAAATATGGTCGCAACTGAGAAAGACTGCACTGGCAAGGGCCAGCAGCATATACAAAAGACAGACCCATCCTCTCGTCAGGGACGTCGCCCCACAAAAGCATGACCATAACTGTCAAATGGTAATAAATAATCTGGTTGTGAACCCCAAATGGGGCTCGACACCAAGACTCACTGACTGACTGACTGACTGACTGACTATCAGTTGCAATGTGACTTTGACTTTTTGAAGTTTACAGTTCCAGTTCAGAGTTGTGTTTGAATACAATGTTCAAGGCGTTACAGAGTTCATTACTGTTATTATATTATTAGTCTTCAATTCTTCAAACCCAAGTGCGTCTGTGTATACTGTGAAACTATAATAAATATTATAGAGCAGTTCAACAAGTAGTTGTCTCTTCATATAACGACATCCCATATTGGTGACCCCGACAGTACAACAAGAATAATTGACAGCAGTCGAATAGAAGACCTCCTGCAGCAGTACATAACACGGATGCAGAAATTACAATGTGAATCACATACCAGTCATGAACAGCAAGCCCAAAAGGAGACAAACCAACACAACTCCAGTATTACAAACAGCCCACTACCAACAGAGAAATATCAAGAATCATTATGCTGCCTCCGCCGTTCTGGGCCGAGAGACCAGCAGTTTGGTTTGCTCAAGCCGAAGCAAAGTTCACTTTGGCTGGCATCAGTAGTGAGCAGACTAAGTTCTGTGATGTCGCAGCTGGACCAACGTTACGCCTCGGAAGTAGAGGACATCATCACCTCTCCCCCGAAATGTGATCCAGACATGATGATGAGAACTGAACATATGAGATGGCTATTCCCCTCAAAAGAACATCACATATGCGAGCTCCTCACACTAGAAGAAATGGGCGACTGAAAACCTACCCAGTTTCTAAGACACCTCAGAAGCTTCATCCCAGACAAGCCAGATGACTTACTGTGCAGCATTTGGCCCAACCGGACTACTTTCCCGTATAAGGGCCATCCTCTGAGGCCAACCCGAGGATGACTTGGACACCACAACCCCCTGCGTGGATTGCATTATATAGGCCAC